ATAGTTATATATATATATATATATAGTATAAAAAAACTGCTTATTATTATTAATCACTTTAGTAGTTAAGATAGTTTAGTAAAATGAATATGAAAATAGAGATTTAGTTGCAATTCTTTGAGATGTTCTTGGGGTAATCACACCATAAAACAAATTTACTATTTTATGTCTGTTGACAGCTAAATTATTAGCATTTTCTCTATGATTAATTACTTATTAATACAACCTCATGTGAATGTCAATTATAATGATTGTAATAGCTACATATTCTCTTACATATGTATCTATATTTGTTAACAGTAGGAAAGTGAAGGATATTCTTATTCAACACAAAAAAATTGATTTAATTTAATAATCAGCTTTGAATTTTTTAATGAAAATAGTTGACCTGTATCTTTATAGGTCAGCATTTGATAATGTAACAAAGGCCAGGATGGCTATCAAGAAGATTTCTCCATTTGAACACCAGACCTATTGCCAGAGAACATTAAGAGAAATAAAGATTCTCACAAGGTTCAAACATGAGAATGTAAGTTTTAGAACAATAACAGATATATAAATTCTAACAAGGTTCAAACATGAGCTTGCTAGTTCAAGTTTGTGATTATTATTGTTATTCCTTTACTGAAATTATATCAATTTTCAAGCTTATTTTTATGAATTCATTTTCTTCATCACCTAAACAAAAGTACTGTTAGCATATATGATATGCTTTGATATTTGGTACTAAATGTTTAAAAGATTAAATCCAGGGTATTTCTCTAACAAAATTAGTGATACTATTAGGGATTTTTTTTCATACTAAATAGTTGAAGCTTTAGATAATTGAAACTGCTATGTTGAGAAGTACTAATCCTAGCATTTTTTTAAGTATACACATATCTGTGAAATGTATTTCTGTGTGACTTTCAGAACCAAATGAAAGTAAGAAAACTTTTTTCTAGTTTTTTTTTCTCACTACATGATTATTAAAGTCATTGATAATTGTTCACAGAAATTCAAAACTGTTTTTATTTTGTACAGTGCCATAAAATGTTATTTTAAGAATGTTTGTAACTAGTTATCACAATAGAAGAATATATAATCTCAGAAAGACAAACAAGTATTGATGAGAGTGAAAGGAATTGAGGAAGCAATACAATTATGTGGAAGTGTGTTAGGTCATTCATATTAAGACTTTGGTCTCTGTTGGGCTCAAAACAGGGATATAAGTTGACAGAACAAAACTGTGGAGATGATCTGGTGGATTCAGATACAACCTTACCTCTAATCACACAAAAATATCTCAATCTTCTTTCTGCCCTCTAAGCATTGCTGAAAACATTTTCATGCTCAGCACACCAGTTTATATACTTAACTGATTTTGTGCCACTATTGAACATGTACATAGCATCAGTGGTGTAGCAAGAGGGGGGCAAGGGGGGACACTTGCCCCTGGGCACAGGTGTAAAGGGGCGCAAAATTTCCTCTGGCATATAATGCCTATTAATTAATAATTATGCCCTCCCCTAGGATATAGCGCAACTTCCCTACATTAAGTAAATACGACACAGTGTTACGTTATTTGTGTGTATTATGCTTGCAGTTTTAACTTTTAAAAGCCGCCCACTGAAATACAGTGAGTCCGATTTAACAAACAGAAGTAAATTACACTATTCCATCATTCATCTGTAGATCAAATACATAGATAGTTGGTCTGCTTTCAAAACATAGGGTGGATTCTCTAAGTGGAAAAAAAAATTGAAAAGTTAAATGTCCATGAAAATAGTGACAGTCATCATGAGTCATTTGCTGTTTGGAAAGAAACTGAGTGACAAATTCATTTTCAAAGTGGCATTGATGAAGAGCTGCAAAGGCAAATTCAGCAAGAAAAAATAAATGGAGAGATGTACTGCAGCAGTTGCTGGATTGTACACAATATTTAGCTTCTTAGAATCTTGCATTCATTGGTCATACTGAGGACATAACCTCAAACGAAAACCCTGGAAATTTCCTGTCACTTTTACAGTTATTAGCAAAGTATGATCCAGTAATGAGAGAGCATTTAGAGCGTCTTAGAAACAAGCAAACATCAACATCTTATCTTTCTCTTGAAATCCAAAACGAGTTTATAAATCTCATGGCTTCA